GGAGAGCGAAGACGACAATGATTGCCACCCTGCACCGGAGCTGCTGGATCCACGCTCTGCCCGGCCCCGGCCCCCGGAGCAGGCACAGCCGCAAGCCAAGACGTCCGTCCTCCTCTTGAGCCCGGAGTAGCTCTCGCACCAGAGCCGCTCCAGCCCGGCCCCGTGGGGATGGGGCGGAGGACGGTCCGCAGCAGCTGCGTCCTCGCTTTCCAGTTCAGGGACTGACGCTGTTAAGAGCGGAGGAGGTGGGTGTCCACGAAGCTCGCGTCAGGGTCCATCGGCACTCCCAGTCCGTTCCAGGCGGTGCTGCGCTGGTTCTTCCTACGCGGTGACCATGCACGGAGCCGACAGCAGGAGATTCAGACAACATTAATCTTCTAGGATGGAGAGAGATGACTTCACAAGGGATAAATAGAACTTTATTTAAATAAACATTTGTGAACATCTTTATACAAATTACAAGTCCCCACACAATCCTCCAGCTCTGCCTAAGCGCCAAAGCTGCCAGGAGGGCCTTTGAGCAGATCCACCAGGATGTCGAGCAGCTGGCTGTGCTGGTGGTGCAGGTCCCCGGGGATGGCTGCCATCTCATAGCACAGGCACGTCTCCACCATCTTGGAGAGCGACACACGGAAATCACGCAGGAGGCGGATGGTGTAGGAGTCTCCCTCCAGCACCAGGAGATCACTGTCTGTCAGGGAGACCGTCGCTCGCCAGCCATCATCTTAGTGGGAAGAAGAGAGGAGGTGAGGAGGAGGAATGGCGCTGAGCTGCTCCAGCCCGTGATGGCCAATCCCACCCGTGCCGGCCCTCGCGGCGCCCCCCCCCGCCGTTACCAGGTTCCTCCCCACGCGCGTTTTAGCCCCAACTCCAGGGACTCAACTAGGCCAAGCAGTTCCCGTCACACTGGGATCCTCCCGCAGGAGGTGACCGACTGCACAGCCCATCTGAGCTCGAGGGCTAGAGACCAACTGCAGCGCTGCCAAAACCGCACCGCTAAAGCAACAAATCCACAAGGAGAGGGGCTCACTCCTCCCCACACAGCAGCCACAGCTGAAGACCGGCTCAACTCCTCATTCCCCAGGGATGAGCCTCCAGGCACAAGCCTGCTTGCTCAGCCCACCTGCGGCTTGGTTTCCTCATCTCCCTGGAGAGCCGCAGCTGAGAACAGCTCACAAATCATCACCTTTCTGGCCCCATTACAGCAACACCCAGTCTGAAGCAAGAGGCTTAGAAAGCAGGGGAAGATAGTTGGCCAGGGGAAGAAGCAGAGCTGCTCAGAGTAGAGATGAGGGGTAGGCACCCTGCGGCCCCTCGGACTGGGGTACAGCTGCAGAAGCGGGGTGCCTGGGGTGCCGGGCGCGGCAGGAGGGGCCTGCGGCGGCACAAGAGAGCGTGCAGGTGGACGCGTCAGCCCTGCGGCTGCTGCAGCACTCACCTCGGACATGGATATCTGTATCGGTCATGAGCAGCACGGCCAGCGGGTGGACCTGCGAGGAGTCCCGCACGAACACCCCACCATTGGACTTCACCGCCATGAAGTACGTTAGCCAGCGGCTGTACAGCTTGGATGCCTCCCTGCACAGGGGAACAGCTTCGTCAGCCGCAGGCGGGGACGTGTTGTACTCCGGTAGCAGCACGCGTGTCGGGAGGCAGCGCCGGGGTCCTCGGCACAGCCAGCTGGTGCCATGAAGCGCAATTGTGCGGGGTGCCCACCCTCCCACGGTCACAGTCACAGATAGATCACCCACCTGTTGATCGTTGACTTGTGGAGCAGAACGGTGCCAGCCTTTGTCCGATACGCGTAGCTGTTGGGTTTGAACTTCCCCTGACGCGTCACTTTGCCTTGTCTCACCTGAAACAAGAAGCGCATCTCAAATACCTGCACAACCGGCAGCCAGCCTGGCTTTCCCCACAACTGTCTCTCCTACTGCATGTAGGGGCAAGCACGTTCCTCCACTTAGAATAGAAGAGAATCGTTCAGGTTGGAAAAGCCCTTTAAGATCATCCAGTCCAACCTTTCACCTACATTACCAAGTCCACACTAAACCAATCAAGGGTAGACCAGACTAAACCATGTCCCCAAGTGCCACATCTACCCATTTTTTGAACACTTCCAGGGATGGGGACTCCCCCCACCTCTCTGGGCAGCCTGTTCCAATGCTTGACTACCCTTTCCGTGAAGAAATTTTTCCTAATTTCCAACCTAAACCTCCCCTGGCGCAGCTTGAGCCCATTTCCTCTCATCCTATCGCTAACTACATGGGAGAAGAGCCCAACACCCACCTCACTACAACCTCCTTTCAGGTAGTTGTGGAGAGCAATAAGGTCTCCCCTCAGCCTCCTCTTCTACAGGCTCAACAATCCCAGAAGCCCCGCTGCGTTAGCAGAGTATGTACGTGGGTGTGACGTACTACGCCATGCAAGGGGCAGCAAAGAGGAGGAGGAAGATGCCACCTCAATGCCTCCCAGACCAAGCTACAAGAACCCAAGCATGGACCTGTGCAGGCCAGGGGGGGCCACTCCTTATGAGGAGGGATCCAGAGGCAGTACTGGAGCAGCAGGCAGAAATACAAGCAGGCAGCCTGCCTAGGGTACACGCTCCCAGGAGAGCGCAAGCGTCCCCGGCACCTCCGCGCTTCCCTGTGCCACCCGCACTGACCAGCGAGCCCAGGAAAGCGCTAGCAGGGCAGTAAGCCAGCACCTGGATGAGGTTGGGGTAGAGCCCAGCCATGAGGACTCCCTTGACGAGTTCCTCCTCTTCACTGTACTGGTTACATACGGATGAGGGCATGGTACAGTCAGATGGGGACGACACCAGGAAGGCTTCGTAGAGGTTCTCGGAGAACTGCTTGACAAGGCCTGCAGGGAGGAGACAGCCCCAGGGAATGAGATTCACCCTCTCCTTCGCCCCACTGTGAATGCAATAACCCTGGCAGGGCAGCAGCTGCCCCGGCCTCGGAGGCTCAGCCTCAGCACTAGGACAGGAGAGCTGTCCTGCCCGCAGCCTCCCTGGCACCCAGGGCTACGCCTGCACTCACGAGGGCCAAAGCCAGAACCTGCGCCCAGTCCAGCAGTCACTGGCCCAGTCTATCCCATTTCTGCACCAGTGCTTCAGCCTTTTCAGGGGACAGAGGGCAGAAGCAGGCCTCTGGGACTCACCATTTATGAAGCGAAGGCTGGGGCCGTACAGGTAATAGTCCTGCAGGTAGTTATCCCTGGCACGACTGTCTCTGCGTCTCAGCACCTCCTCCCAGCCTGCCACAGCTCTGACAAACGCGAGGTGATCGCTCCCACTCTCCCGGCTCAGAACAGCCTTGGCCTGGGAGACAGACACACGCGTCAGCCAAGCGGCAGCCCCTTCCCTACCTGCCTTCTACCTTCCTCGAGGAGCGGCTCCTCACCTTGTCCACCTCTGCACGGTTTTGCAGGCTGCTGCTGAAGGGGTCCCGGGTGAGGCAGGAAACGATGACGAGCAGAGGGTGGAGGCAACGGTAGATGGATGCCAAGACGATGGCCTTTGCCAGTCGAGGATCCGTGGAGATCTGAGCAAGGCGTTTGCCCAAAGTGGTGAGGGCTTCTCGCTGGTCCAGCACACCTGCAACAGAGCCGCCCGCAAGGGCGCATCCATCAGCTCCGAGTGGGGCCAAAGCAGTGGCCAGTGGCTTCGGGGAGCTGCCAGGAGAACCCGCCTACTGGGCTTGGAAGATTTGGTGTAACCTCCAGAAGCGGCACAGCATAGGTGCCTGCAGTAAGCACCCAGAACCTCCCAGGTCTAACTGACCTGAGGCCAAAGAAAAGGCTGTAGCAGCCAGATGACAATGCACAAGACCCCAGCTATGAACCCCAGATCACAACGTTCCTTCTTTAGCCTGGAAAGAGGAGGCTGAGGGGAGACCCAATGGCTCTGCAGCTCCTGACAGGAGGGGGCAGGGAGGGGGGTCGGGCTCTTCTCCCAAGGAACCAGTGATAGGACGAGAGGAAATGGGCTCAAGCTGTGCCAGGGGAGGTTTAGATTGGATATTGGGAGAAATTTCTTCATGGAAGTCAAGCATTGGAACAGGCTGCCCAGAGAGGTGGGGGAGTCCCCAGCCCTGGAGGGGTTCAACAAACAGGCAGAGGTGGCACTTTGGGCCATGGTTTAGTGGGCATGGGGGTGTTGGGGTGATGGTTGGGCTGATGATCTTAGAGATCCTTTCCAACCTTAGTGATTCCCAGTTTTACTTGCATTAAAAACTAATCCATCCCCCAAGCCAGGAAACATGAAATTAATTATTATTCTTCCCTTAATTGGTTTAGTGGTGGACTTGGCAGTGTTAGGTTAATGGTTGGACTGGATGATCTTAAAGGTCTTTTCCAACCTAAATGATTCAATGATTCTTTCTCTGCCCACCCCCCCCTTTTTTTTTATATTTTTAAAAAACACCTTGGGAAGTCCTCCCTACTTCTTGAGCAAAGCAGCGTGGGAAATAAAATAGCACTGCAACGTGTGTTTTTTGGGAAGTCCCTATCAGCAACCATCCCTATCTAGGAACAATCCTGCCCAGTCTGTCTCACAGGATCCTGGGCCAACTCCCACTTCCCATGTTTAGACAGCAAACATGTTTCCATCACACCCACACCAGGACACAGCATTAGCTCACCAATCTCCTGCAGTAAGATCACTGCTTCATCCACAGCTTTGATGTCAGGGCTGTCCAGAGCCTTGGAGAGGAATTCAACTGCCTGCAACACAGCGGGGGGGAGAGAAGGGGGAGGGAAAAGAGGG